ATAAGGCCTCAGACTTATCGCTGAGCTACTGGGTACCATTGCGTTTAATGTCTTACAAAATATATACATACATATATTTATGTAAAGAGGGAGTGTGTGAAATACACTGAAATTCCAAACAGTATGGGTCTGAAACAATAACAGAGAGATTTACAGAGGGTTGTGCATGTTACCAATAGCCCCGTAGCATAGTGTCTATTCCGTGAGAGACCCGGCATGGCCAGGTGCTTAGGGTACTCGACTAGCAATCTGCGGGTCGCGGGTTCGAATACCCGTCACACCAAACATGCTCGCCCTTTCAGCCGTGGGGGCGGCAAAGCTACACGAGGGCTATCTGCGCTAGCCGTCCCTAATTTAGCAGTGTAAGACTAGAGGGAAGGCAGTTAGTCATCACCACCCACCGCCAACTCTTGGGCTACTCTTTTACCAACGAATAGTGGGATTGACCGTCACTTTATAAGCGAAATTCAAAACAAACAAACAAACAAAAACGAAGTTAAACCTTAAACTACGTACATATAAAAGACAACAGACTTAATGCTTAAGAAGGTCTCTGTAAGAGAATAAAGAAAAACAGCCTTCTCTTTGAGCTTCTTGAATTACGTTGTATATACAAAAACACAAGAGAAACAGGAGAAAAATGCAGAGAAAGGGAAGGATATATATATATATATGCAGGTCTACCGGAGATGACTGAATCACGTGCAAGTATTCCACTCTCGTGGGTACACAGTTTTTTTTTAACTTTCATCTTTTATAATCGTTGCATTGCCAGTCAGTTAGTTGAAGTCATTTCTCAGGTCTCTAGCTATGAATACAAACATACTGATTCTATCGTAAAGGCGAAGATTAAGAACTGAACAGTGCTTGTGGAGAAAACCAACGCTAAAGAATATAGAAGATGTCTTGAACATTTCCACGTCAGATGGAAAAAAAACAGTAAGGAGAATATATATATGTTTATTTGGAACGCCTTTATCTATTCATGTTTTGAGTAGAGCAAAAAAAAAGAAGAAGAACGACCCAACAATTTTACAAAACGAACAACGTTTACCCTTGGAGAAGGGTATGAGAACAAGAAGAACGACCCAACAATTTTACAAAACGAACAACGTTTACCTTTGGAGAAGGGTATGAGAACAAGAAGAACGACCCAACAATTTTACAAAACGAACAACGTTTACCCTTGGAGAAGGGTATGAGAACAAGAAGAACGACCCAACAATTTTACAAAACGAACAACGTTTACCTTGGAGAAGGGTATGAGAACAAGAAGAACGACCCAACAATTTTACAAAACGAACAACGTTTA